AAGGCTATATTATCCGCATTTTACAACATTTCGCAACGAAACTTTGGAATATTACTAATTTTGTGATGCTCTTTCAAGCTGTGATGAAATTTTTGTCTAGATCAAAATTTAGTCTATAATGCAAATGGTCCATTGTAAGCTATTTGATTTCCATCGTGTTTTTTTATTACATGCGTGTTAAAAAAGTTCGGGGGGTTGCGGACTGCTTTCTAGAATGTTTTTGTTTATTTTGTTTGAAATTTGGCGGGAAAGTTTTTCATGATTTGGTAAAGTTGCAACTTGCAAAGCCATGCAGCGTGAAGTCGGTAGCGATGAAAAATGGCCTGTTATAATACATTCTTCACTTCAGAATACCGATATTTTCACACTACTAAATACTACTCACAAAGGTCGAGGTATTAATATTTTTCAGCTCATTGTAGTTTATTTTTTTCAGAGTTTTCCGCCTGTTTTGCTTACCAGTCGAACATGGCTATGAAATTGTCTGAATATTATAGAGGCAAACGGTTTTGTTTGCTTTGTTCGTTTTATATTGTTATATTTAGTGTTACTTGTGTTTTTAGTTTCAGGAAACATAATTGAAAACTCGGTGATTTTCCCAAAGTCTGCAGTAGCTTTCTTGATATTAGCCATTCGTGATATTGCATCGCAAAAAGATCGTTATGCACTGGACGAAAAAATTGTTGAAAGGTATAAAGCTTATAACCATTAGGCATTACAGCAGAATCATTTCTATTTTTCTCAGCAATATATATTGTCTGTATAGTAGTCCGAAATGTAAGTACGAAAATTTCTTCGAGTCGCGATGTAAAATGATCTTTTTCAGGTCATGAGCAAATTTACATCTGTTATGCACCAGTCAGTGGTTTGCCCCAGGGGGGGGGGGTATCAGGCTTACCCACGGGATTTGACATTTTGCTAAAATGTTTGGTCAATTTCCCGTCCTGACGAAATCAAACTCCCTGAAAGAATTTTTTTAATAATAGTCAAATACACAAAAAATTATATTGAACGAACAACAGTATAAAATTAGTCATATATGTATATTTAAACAGTTTTAACTCTGGTTTTATATCGTAGAAGAAAATGCTCTTTATTATTCTTGTTCTTTAATATAAAAACAAACTAATATATTTAATTCACCTTTTTAACTGCATTTCTATTACCAAAAAGCATAGACGGATTTTCATATTTTTTACTGGGGTGATGCCAGAAATTTTAGGGGGTGAGCCATGTGACTGAAGCGACACAAAGTGTCACCAAACCTCAGTAAGGTCTATATTCTAGGGATGGAGTACTAGAGCTGCGAGGGGGAGTCTAGAGAGCAGAAAACAAAGTATCCCTGGAAAAATTTGAAAAAATCATGATTTCTAGCTTCGAAAAAAAGTTTTTTGAAGTTTGACAACTGGATTTGGCATGTCCGATTGTCTGTTGAGACTTGAGAGAGTTAAAGACTTAAAGTTAAATGAGCCTGTAAAAGTGTAAACCCAATAGGCCAATACACAATATGCTTTTACTTTTATAAAGTCATTGACATTGTGTCGTTTGAATCAGAGTACAATTTATGATGCAACTCCGATGTAAATATTATTTGGGGCGTAAAGATTAAATCTAGGCAAGTCTATTTCCTAAAAGAATTGAAAACTAAAAATAATGTTCGTAAAAATTCCAAACGTTCCTTGCAAGCAAGCTATTTGCATGACAAGGCACCGCAAACTCTATTCAGGGGAGATAATAGAGTTTCAAAACTTTACAATTGCTCCAATAAACCAGTGAATGCAAGCGAGGAGCGATTAGTTTCAGAGTATTGCACTGTAGAGTAGTGTCTTTTTCTATTTGAGTGTACTCTATATAACTATATAACTTTTATTTCACACTATTTCAAGATGATACAAATACAAAAGATACAAATTGATTTACAGATGGATAGAGAATATACATAGAATTAAATATTAATACATAGAAAGGAAGTGTACAGAGACCGAAGTAGCATAGCTTTCGAGCCGGCCTCTGAAACATTTAACGATATAATTCAATTAGGTTAAGTATTTGCAACTAAATTTCACTGAACATATTGATAAACTGAAAATTAATACTGATTATATAATAATAAATTCATGTAGCTTTTTTTGAAGAGAATTAATGAGGATAATTTTTTAATATCGATATCAATAGTTTCCCATATTTTTGAGGAAATAAATTTGAAAGTATGAACTCCATAATTAGTTCTTACTTTTGGTCTCCTACGTTTATTTTGTATCATCAACACTCTGCACGTGGAGTGGACTATTTAATTATTTTTTATTATACAGAATATTGGGGGGGTTGAAAATTTTTTTGGAGGGGTGGACATTTTGCTTGGGGGGTTATACACACAAAATCTGTCTATGCCAAAATGTGAAAAAGTATGTAGAAAAAATCTCCAGAAAACTCCTGAACAAAAGAAAAATATGGTGCTGTTTCCCGCCAAAACTGCCGCTGACCACACATTTTTAGACTTGTTCCCAGGCCTCATGATGAAAAATGCGAGATTAAACTTCTCAAATTCCCGACCCTTGGGCTCATGTTATTGTCAAATTCCTGACCCAGGGAAGCAGGTAGCTGTCAAATCCCATGGGTACGCCCGATACCCCCCCTGGGGCAAACCACTGACTGGTGCATTACACCATAGGCAGCCCAGCAAATATATAAAGTTTTGCTGACTTTGCTTTCATTTCAAGACGTCATTGTATTGTCATATAGTATTGTATAGTGTATAAAGCCCCGTACAGACGGGCAATATTTCCTTGACAAGTTTAGCAGCTTTGACCTTGTTCCAAAGCTAGTCATGCCAGCTCTTGGACACAGAGAACGTACATACAGAGGTCTCATTTCTGCGGGAAAACCGTAAGGTAGCAAGTGCCCTAAAGAGAGGCATTCACCCCCCTGGAACATTAAATTTCAATATATTTACAGGGGGTGACGGTTTTTCGTGTGTACGGCTGCGCACTGGCTGCCAAGGAAAGCTTGATATTGTTTTGGAAAACAACAGGAAGCCGTACATACGAGCAACAAAAGTTATCAGGGGAAACTTGTCAAGGAAAACTTGTCGACCATACACACGAGAAAGTAAACTTGCCAAAAAACTTGTCAAAAACAACTTGCTCGTCTGTACAGGGCTTAAATGTACTGTTTGTACTGTTCACATTACAACACAAAAGCATATTAAAATTCCATAAAGTCCCGTTCTCACGAGAGCGCCAGTGATCACGAGTGATTGTCAAATGTTGCACATAGTCAAACCCGATCCAAAATTACCCAACATTAATTAAACGAGGCCAAAAATGTTGCATCCAACAATGTTAGGTAATAGCTTCGTCGGAACAATAGACTTTACTGTTTAATTATTGCATTTTTGCTCCAATGGCCTCGTTTTCATGTTTGCCTGTTTTAGCATGACAGGCGCACGTGATGGTCATATGATTCATATCCATACATACATACATATATTACACAGTACACTCCCTATCAGGGTTTTTCAGTGACTGGTCACATTAGAGCCGGAACTGGCGTGAAGCAGACAAAAAAACTGCGTGTAAAAAAAGTACGGGGGTAAAATATCCGCATGTTTCGTGTATGAATATGTTTCTTTTTGATCTTGATCTCAATTACTAAAGGAATACCAAATGTTTTCCGTGTAGGATTGCGTGATCCATGAACGAGGGATGTCGCGAGACTTTCGGAAAGCGTAAAAATACTCGAGCCGCAGGCGAGTGTTTTTTTTACGCTTTCCGAAAGTCAAGCAACATCCCAAGTGCATGGATCACGCTATCCTGCTTGGAAAACCATTTGGTAATTGTTTTATAAAATAACTTCAGTTAAAAATTCACATTTTGAGAATGGCCCGCGAAAATCCCGCGAAGGCATTTTAATTCCTCGTGCAGGATAGCCTGATCCTGCACGGCTATTGACCAATCAAATTGCGTGTTTCACTGTAGTTATTATATAAAAGCCTATCCGCCATGGTGCACGAAACATGAGGAAATAACCACGTGAACACAGGGCTATTGGGGTACGGAGTGCAATCTTTCCGGAATGTACGTCGCTTTGGCTATACAGCCTCGTTTCCATGTATCTAACATTTAGACAAGGACCAACGTCTCAATCATGAAATTGAGTCTCTATAAGGCAACGTGTCGTACTTTCCAGAAGCACATATTAACAATACAGTCTATTAAACGGGCCTCAAAAACCCAGTGAAACGCTCTGTGGTTACGCTTAGCTTACATGATACTAGTTATCTTTAGGCTTACGGTTCTCCAACAGGGTTTATTAGTCAGCGACTATAAATCGACAAACTGTTACGCTCGAAATTACGTCATACAATCTGGTTAGTTCAACCATATAGTCTGGTTAAATTACCAGGAATCCTGGTTAAATTAGCCCGGACTATGGGTTATCGTTCCATGTTTCGCGCACCAATATAGATTAGGGTTAGGGGTTAGGATTAGGTTTAAGGTTAGGTTAGGGGTTAGGATTAAGGTTAGGGTTAAGGTTAGGGTGTGTATATATGTATATGGAGGTATCCAGCTGACTTTGCAGTACACTATAATATCCATTACATAACGTTTACTATATTGGTGCGCGAAACATGGAACGATCGATTACCGGACTTGGATCAAATTAACCAGGACTGTGATTAAACTTTTAGAGTAACCAGGCAGTATCAGCCCAATTTAAATTTCATTGTAATTTAATACGATGAGTATTATTGTCGGCCAGATAATAGGCAAACTTCAAGAATCAATATTTTCGAAAAGCAAACGTGCTCTAGTTCTTTAGTGGTATACTTGTACAACATGAATTTTTTAAAGTTGCATATTTCCATAGTACCAGCGACTTAACGCTCCGTGGAACGTTTTGTTCTTCAGTTAAAATAAGAATTTATGAAAGCCGATAAAAGAAGTTCACAATCACGAAGAGGTCCAAAATATGTTGTTGAGTTGTTCACATCCTCTGAAATATAGTAGCCTGTCGAGACTCGACTGGAAGAATAGTTAACTTCCTCAAGCCATTGACCTCAAGCCTCCTGAAGCTCTCTCTTCCGCAAAGGCGTTTCAGATCAACCCAGTGGTTCAACCTCGTACCCAGGCTATTTTCTCTCACACTCCCAAAGAGACCTTGGGTACGAGGATGGTTTCAGTTTAACACGCCGGCAAACGCGGGCTATATACCCGCAAAATATGAGGCATGCGGGTAAGTCCCCGCAAGCTTTCAAGCCCAAGGAGAGAGCCTCTGGAGGGCTGTTTTGGAACATTCAAAGGCTGGAAAAAATATGCCTCATGGGACTATTTTGACCATAATCCGCGCGTGAAGGAATCAAATGTTTCCACAAACGAAAACCGCGTATAGCCACAGGGTGGCTGGGGGGGGGGGCGCCCCGCTGGCAAATTGGCATTACATTACCTTTTATTGTAATGTACTTTGTAACTGTTACCTTGCCATGTTTTAATGAGGTTTGGGTTGTTTCACATGAACTGATCATCAAAACTCTATTTCATGACTTCCAAGATGTCGAAAATGGCACTTCAGACACTCAGATGTTAACATTTTCCCTCGTAGTGAATGGATAATATATACACATAACATTATTTGCTATAGAGTTTCAAAGTTTGGTCAAGTTCATAGAAACTGTTTCATTTTGACAACATCAGCTTTGATAGAAGAAAAAGATCTTGCCATATTATCAACATTACAAGAAAGGTAACTCATCAAAACCGGAATTCCTTTCATGAAAGTTTATATCGGTAAATTGATTAAAGTCTGGTTTGTTAAATTAGTCTAATTAACAGGTAATACACCGGCTCAAGTCTTGGTTACCGACGGAATGCATGTAGAGACACCTGGAAAGCATGATTTCGGCCGTATCTCCATGAGGTACTACAGTCTACATTGCCTCATTCAGCTCCCTACACTACAGATAATTCAACTTTTTCGCCCTCCCCAGATAATTGTGGTGTCTGTAGGTATGATTCCCCAGCCAAAATTTTGCGGTTACCGAGCCGGTCCACTGATTTGCCAAATTTCACGCATTCCCAGCACCAAAATTGCTATCTTATGCAAATCCCGGCTCTTCCCAGTGACTCAAATCCCATTTTCCTATAGTGTAAAATAGGCAAATCTCAGCACCCGTTTTACTCCGTCCGGAGCCTCAAAGGCTCAAATTTACGAAAACAAATTTTTAAAATGAAGTTACTCAAGTTAGCTAATTAAATCTGTCAAATTATCTTAGATTTTTCACCTTTCCGTTAACTTACTATCCTGCTCACAATTACAAAGAATGTGTGTCATTTATGCTGCATATTGCCAAGGTAAGATTTTGCTCAGTTCCCTTAGTTTAAAGGACCACTGACCATTGTTACAAGACATGGAATTATAACCGCATCGTGCTCCTCTCTTCTAACAGCTGTCAAAACCATCAACGCTTGCCTTACTTTCAGTAAATTAGGCTTTAGAGGAAGACCCCAGAAATTACCATCGTTTAATTAAAAGGGTGAATAATCAATGTATCTTACATTTTTATCCCATACGTGTTTTGCTTTAAACTATTGTTTCGCGTACGTACTTACAGGGGTCTTCCTCTAAAGCCTATTTTACTGAAAGTAAGGCAAGCGATGATGGTTTTGGCAGTTGTTAAAAGAGAGGAGTACGATGCGGTTATAATTCCATGCCTTGTAACAGTGCATGGTCAGTGGTCCTTTAGACAGTAAATACAGCCAATTCAAAAAAGGTTTTCCTTTGCAAACCTTAAACTCTAAACCTTAACTCTAAGCGCGCAAGCTTAATGGGAGCACAAGTTTCAAGCTTAGTAGTTGAATATTGCAGCTATTTGTGAATGAATTGTTCTCGTAAGGAGAGTTAAGGTTTGCAAAGGACAACCTTTTTTGAGTTAGCTGTATACAAATGAAAGGCAATAAATAACATTGACTGAAGCCTGATCTTGAAACAAACCCTGAACTCTAACCATCACAGCCATCTTCAAACACGAGAAAGCTCAGTGACGGTTTCGGTTCAAGTGGTTTTAAGCCTAGGAAACTAGGAAACATTGTTGCGGAAACATTTGCGATTCTCGCTGTTTCCTCAAATGTTCCATGTTTGCCCACCGTGGAAACATTGTTGCGGAAACAAAATTTGCTTCCTGGGAAGCAAAAATGTTTCCTACCAAATTCAGAAACATTTGATATTTCCCTATGTTTCTCACTAATGTTTCCTAGTGTTTGCCCACTCTGGGAAACATGGCGAAATATTGGTAGGAAACAATGTTTCCTAGTTTGCCCAGGGCTTTAGGCTCAGGCTTCAGTCCGTGTTTATTTCTTTGACTTAGATATTCGTTGTAGGACATGAAAATATATAACCGCTGTGAAATTCGCGTTCCAATGGTCAGTGAAATAACGGGCTTGCTGATACTCAAATGGGACCATGTAATTAGTATGGGCGTGGTATATTGGAGCAGCATATTTCTTTTCCAGGTAACTTCCAAGCCAACGTCGACATTACTGAAAACAAGATTAAGTAATCTAGCTTCATCCTCCACATGTGAAGAAGTTGTTTTAAACATTCTATCTGTGATTGGAATCAGCTGTCACGGTATCCTTTTATTGATGTCGCATTATGTAAGCCTGGTAACAAACATGTGTCCAGGGCCATATTTCACTCGGTCGCTCCTTGTTCTGGGCCAACCTCGTATCCAGAGACCAGAGCCATCGGATCCGAGATTGGCTCTGGGCTACTATTAAAACAAGCATCTCCGCCCGCACGTTCACACCCTAACTTTGCCGCCCGCTCGGAATTAGCCGGCTTGTGCAAGAAGGTATTATTTTTAGATCAGTGAGAGGTATATAGGGATCTGTATACGAGCCGTTTTTGCCAATCATATCGTAGATTTAATTTTTTTAGCTCGAAAAATTTCACGTTATGTAGAACACGGGCTTCACTCCAATGCGTGAATGATAGAAGAGTGACAAAAAAGCTTTTTCAAGAAAACTACTGTGCACCTTTAAGCCGGTTTTCCACTAGGCGGAATTTTGCGCGCGGAGCGGATGTTTTCTTTGTCTTTTCTAATCAGTTCCACCAGAGAAATCACAAGACAAAGAAAAATTCCGCTCCGCGCGCACAATTCCGCCTAAAGGTCCATACAGACCGGACGCGATTTGGCAACGCGAATTTTCAGTTTTCAATGTGTGGCCTTAATGGAAAACCGGCTTTACGGTGCGAAGTGGTTAGCGCACTTGGCTTTCACCTCTAAGACCGCAGGCTCAAGCCTTCGTGAGAACTTTCTTTCGAATCGAACCCAGTCCTCATGCGAAAAGAGTAAAAATCAACGTTCTGCCGAAAGTCGTGGGTTTTCTCCGGGTACTCTGGTTTCCTCCCACAGGGAAAGTTGACAGGGTGGGTTAGGTAGAAGGGCCCACAGTAATTGGCATACGCTTTTGTGGTGATCCTGCTCTAGTTGGCAAAGCTAAATAAATAAATAAATTATTCTACGTCTTAAGACTAATCCTGACGATAATATAAATAAAGAAACAGATAGAAGTGGCATCTTCTTAACTGAAACTCAAGAGACATAAGTTACAAATTGATATTTCGAATTTATTACAAATTGAAAAATTAATAAATTCAAAATATCACTTTGACACTTTTGTCTGTTGTTTTCTCTCGAATTTCAAGCTGGAAATCTTCATTCTGAGCTTTTTGTTGAATAGATTTTACCCATCATGAACTTTTATTTTTGATCCTTAAATAAATTTAAAGATTGCTTTGTACTTCATCAAGGTTGCCACAGCCTTTCAAACATTGCCCAAGCTTCTATACAGCAACTCATGGACTGCAGTTTGGATCAAGAAACGGCCAGGAAGGTTTATAACTTTTTTCATAACAGCTCAACGTCTAATTGAAACTTTTGAACAGCATACACCTTTACATTAGTTATTGAAAATTAACGTTTACTAAATTATAACACTGTTGCTCTAAGTTCCCTTTTGCGTTCGTATACAATGTCGATGCGCCTGTATACAGAAACTCAAAATCTCCTATTTTTATTTTTCCTATTTAAAAAACTTGTCCGGATAAACGCGCAAGTCCCTGTATTAGGTTTTGGGGCAGTCGAACAGTTTTGTCAAATTTATCCATTATAGTTAATAGACAAGCATAACTACAAAGTTTATTTACAAGTGTTAATAATTTTGAATTACATTGTATAATTACATTGTATAATTAAATAAACTGTATTTAATCAGTTACACTTTGTAAATTCCAAATGGAATGAATATACGTTCTGAATAATTATAAAACCATTCTGATGACGTGTAAAATCAGGCATTTGACGGGTTTTGCAACAAGTGCACATTTTGTGGTCCCTCATCCCTGGAGAACCTGCTCGGCGTTTGTTACTTTACAAATTCAATTTCCACTATTTTACTGTAACAGCTACCTTTTCTTAAAAAATCTGTAAAATATAAACAGATATTAAGATCCAATTTAAGATACAATTTACAAGAAGAGGTGACATACATGACGTTTAATATTTTCCTATAGTTGGATTAAGTGGCATGCTGGGGAATGGACTTTTTAGTTTGCACAACACTCGTAGCATAACAGTCGTAACATCCTGTCACGATCCAGGATGGTTGGGATGCACAATCACCCCTCATTGTTTTGAAAATCCACTAACATGTCGTCTAGTAACTCGCTGTTTTGACGTATCAGCGAATCGATAAAAAAGTAATACATTGTACAATGAGGCACAGCACTAGATAACGTAGCTTGGGATGGGTGCATGAGAAACGAGAGCGCTTATATAAGAGAGAGTTCCGCCCTGCAGCGCAAAGGCTATAGTTTTTCTTGGGAAAAGCAAAACTAGCATCTACGGAGGAGAGGAGAGAAGAGAATCTATATCTTTGTTTTGCCATGCATCTTTAACTTCTTTATCAAATAGGCTTATTCACAAAAATATCAGGACTTTGGGCATCTCACTCGGCAGATCTAAATGTTGGAGGGTTTCTGTTGATGAAAATATCGAGTGTAAATTAAATACATTTTTAGACCTTACACACGAGCAGTTGCGAAAAATGCAACTATAGGCCCTCTGACAGGAATCAGCCCTGCGATTCCGGTGGCCAGGCTCTAACCAGGCCTCGAATTTCCCTGAAATCAATCGACGGCAATGGCGTTAAAAATTGCCGTAGAACATAACAGCTGTCTACGGCAATTTTGGCAGTTTCCACGGCATTTTTTCAAATTACTGTAATAAAAATTTAATTTTTATTGTTATTTGGATTGCTGACAAGCTAGAAACATGTTTACGTATTTCTTTAGTGTTTTTTTTTCGAAGAAAACTCGTAGTAGAAAAAATAGTAGTTTACGCATGATTTGATCAACATCGATCTGAATTCAAGTATCAAAATAGTAATGCACGGTGAATAGTATAAAAATTATACTATACGGCAAAAAATTGCCGTCGTTGCCGCAAAGATCCACGGCATTTTGTTCCCCCTCTACGGTAATTGCCGCGATAAAATTCAAGCCCTGGCTCTAACCAACTGAGTTATACAGTTGTAACCGCAAGCTCTGTGGTTAGGTCTAAAAATATATAAAACTTACACTCGAGATTTCCATCTACCCGAACCCTCCAACATTATTCACAAAAACTGTACCTTCGTCGTAAAAACTTGAAGAGGAAGTTAACAATGACAGGCCAAAGGATTAGAAATACAAAGGTCTTGGATGGTCTATAGTTTTCGAGCCAAGACTAAAGGGAAAAAGGATAATTAAAAAAAAACGTATTAACATATAATATAGCAAGCCAATAATTTAAGTCTCTGTCAAACGAGGACGAGAATTGACGAAGGCTGATTTAGGCTGGTTCAAATTTTAATGACAGTCAACGAGAATTTTTGCTGGTATCCAGTCAACGCTCACGCGACTCTTGTTCTCTTTTGACCCAAGCACGAGAGAAACTCTCATGCATCCAAATTGCCAACTCTCATCAGTTTTCTTAATAAACCAATTGCCAACTCCAATCAATTTTAATATTGACCAGAGTTTTACGGTAGTATTATTATGCATAGGCATGTACGAACACAGGGTTGGCAACTCAATGACAATCATTCCTGAATAAATTTGCTTCATCTCAACTCTCTATAACATCCAGATGATCTTGATACGCGGAAAAGTACTGGCACTAGTTCAGTCTAGTTGTCAAATAGAAATCCATTTTGTGATTAAAACAACTGAATATCTCCTGTGATATACTTTATTTCGATTCCATATTTTTGTCAGAGCTATAGTTCTCATAACCAAATATAATTACAAAATTTCAACTAGTTTCATAAAGAATAACGAAAGATATAATTGACTGAATACATCGAAATAGATTTCTATTCGGACAACCCTTTCTGAGCGCTGATTGGCTAAAATACGAACACGAGATCACCTGGATAAACAGTAACGGTTTCGCACAATCCTTTTGCTCTTGATAATAGAGTAATATTATACATTATCCAAAGAAAACATACATTACACGATGTTATACTTACAGTACTATGACTTTGTTGTAATGATGTTTCTAGTCTCTTTAGCCTTTCCAAAATCTTTTTCATGTTATCTTGAATTTCCATCAGAAGATCTGCAATCTTATCAATCGCTGCATCGTCTCTTTCACTACTTGAATTATGATCTGATCTTCCAGGACTTTCATCACTATCACTTTCTTGACTTCTTCTTCGATATCTTTGACCATATCTCGCAGATCTGTCTGAATACTGAACTGCAGAAAATAGGAATACATAAACATAGAAGGAATATAAGGATGATTGATGGGGAAAATTATTGATACCTCAGGGACTATACCATGCCTGGTATAGTCGAAAGCCTATTTTAAAGGTTTAGGGCCCATTTTTAAATATCATTGTGAAAATTTTCAACGTCAAAATTTTTTTCCGACGGAAAATTTGTGTCGGCCAATCACATTTTACAAAATTTTCTTTGCGGAAAATTTTCCTGAGTAGAAATTGGCCTTTAGTGTCACACCATGGTATTGTGGGCCCAAATTCCTGCTGGCGGCCATTTTATGGGCCGCCATATAGGCTCACCTTTTCTGTTAGGGTGGGGTCGCTTAGACTTTATACCTTAAAGGATTAGTGTCGCACTATGGTATCGCGGACTTTTGACAGTTTTGTTCTTACCTAAAATCTACAAATAATGATAAAAGTTGTTTGGACATTTCCAGTAAGAATAAGATAAAAGATGCACGGATTCTTAAAAATGGTTAAAATATACGACAGATTACAAAAAATGTTTTCCTGATCTATTGAACTACTTAGCAGTTGGACACGTTAGAGATACTGGTGGAGGTTGTGAATGGGCTTTGCGTTCATTTACTTAAAAACCAATTAAAGTGACCAGCGAAAATATGATCGATATTAAACTTGGTTGCCGTGAACTATAAACAAACTTCAAATATGAAATCTAATTCTGCACAAAAAGCAGTAAGTAGCGAACGAAAACATGACAAATTTCAAATTTGCTATTTTCCTGCCGTCTCACAACAGCAGTACCTAGTACCTACCATTTCTTTGTGTTTGTTTTCCACCTGAAGCGGTAGCTCTCATCAGTCCTCTAGTATCACCACCACCAGAACCAGCTCCAAGTTGGTTAGGCTGCACCACACATTCCTTACTACTAAGTTCTCTTGATATCTCCTCAGGTGCGTTGGTACCTTCACTTTCACCTTGAGATGTGTTGAGATCTTCAAAGTGAACATGAACCATCTTATCTGAATGCGGACTACTTGTTTCACCCTCACTGGCTCCATTTTTCTTCAGCTCAAACTGTTCAAGAATTTCAACATCGGAAAAGCTAGAGAGATTTCTATCACTTGGAACTATATCCTCCAGTACTGATTCCAGCATTCCTGAATGGAGCATCTGTTCTCGACCAATCTGTAAAATACAAGTAAAACCAATAGAATAATTTTATTATTCCATTTTAGAGGGTCTTTATGCAGGTCTTTGAATGCGAGTTATCAACTTAAATTCAAGCCAAATGTGAATTGAGCTAATCAATGAGATATTTTGTAAGATGTCGGTTCCAAATTGCTGTTTCATCGTTTGTCACCTCTCAATTAAGATATTTTGTAAGTTTTCAGTCAAAGTGGCGGCAAATGTCAGTATTCTCAGGTAACGCATTCAGACTCTCATTTTAGGTAATTTGGAAACAGGAGGTGCTTGTACGTCTGCATGGAGTGGACTGGATAGATAGATAGATAACTTTTTTTTGACGCTGACCTCGTCAACCGAAGCTGATTTCCACGAGGGGTGTGTGGAAAAAATTTTAAAAAATGTTACAATTTAGAAGTGCTATGTTTTAAAAGATGGAATATTTAAATTATTTACATAATAATAACGTTAGACTATTCACACGTAATCAATTTACTTTGTACTCATTCATGTGAGCAGCGATTTTATTTTGAAAGGAAGAAAGAGTCTGCTCTCCCTTATTTCTTTGGGAATATAATGTGTATGCTCCGCCATTAATAAAACCATTTTTCATGTTGTTAGTACGTGGTTGGTAAACTAAGACCACTTGACATGCCCCGAAGGTTGTAGTTCATTTTCTCATTTTTGTATGAAAAAAGATTAGTGAGTGATTTGGAACCCATATTATTTAACAGTTTATACATCACTTTTGTTTTTAGTTTTCTTCCTTTCTGTTTTGAGTGGCTCCCAACCCAATGCATGTCAAGCAGTATAGGACTAGGGATATTGTCTCATAAAGGTGTTTCGTATACTGTTTCGATGATCGCCGAGGCGTTGCTATGCATTGTTTTCCACCTCCTGGTTTTGATCTCACCTCCTGATTTTGCTGTCCAATGGTCGTGATTTTGCTTTTCACCCCCAAAATTTGCGTCTACTTCTTAAAATATTTTGAAGCATTTTGATTGGTTCCTCAAAATATTTGGTAACGAACTTTCTCTTAAGGCGGATTTCCAGTCCTCGCAAGAAGCTCCTCGCAGCTCGCTGCGAGTGATGCATGGGCACTTTCATCCAATCACAATGCTAAACAGTTCATTTTAATTAGATGCAAGGACTGGAAAACCGCCTTTAGCCTCATTTTATTAAAATATAGTCTTGACATTTATTTCATTAAAACGACGTTTCGAAGTTACTCCATCCTCAGGCGATTCAGATGAAAAGATTACAACTTATATGACCGATACAAGGACACACGAACATACAAGGTTTATCAAAGCCATTGTCAAAGGGGTCATCACAGCTATTGGACATCGATTTTCTATATTGGAGTCAAAAGACAAAATTGGCTAACGTTGCTTACATCGTTGCTACCAATTCACAACTTTAGAGAAACTCACATGCCTAGTCACGATTATTCACAGAAGCAGAGAATATAGAACAATGGTAAATAAGCATTAGAATTATGTATTAGATTATTTTATTGTCGATTTCAGGTAACTTTTCAACACGCTGTTCCCAAGTTCGTTGCGAACTTGCCAATTACGTTGTCAAGTTCGGAAATTGGGCGTGAACTTCGCAAAAAAGTTCGCAAGTTCAGTCAAAGTTCGAACTTTGATTGTAAACAAATGTTCATAGTTGGAGTTGAAATTACTGTATAAGGCCCTATGCACATATTACTGCAGTAAAATATTGGTCCATTTCGTCCCAAGACGAAAAATGCCTTTTTAAGTAAATTTATAAATGAAATTTTTACATTTGTTTACAATCGAAGTTCGAACTTTGAAATAAGTTCCCGCCCAACTTCCGAATTTGGAAACGTAATTGGCAAGTTGACAACAAACTTGGGAACTGCGCTTTGAAAAGTGACATGAAATCGACAAATTTAAAACGACGATAATTTTAAAGCTTAGTTACCTATGTTCTATTCTATGCTTCTGTAAACTAGAGCAATGGTAACTAGGCATATGAGTTATCTAAGGCCTGTTTTATACGTCGAATTTCGGTCGCGTCGAATGCAAATCAAACAATAGATAACGAAGCTGAATGAGGTTTATCATCTCATTATCTATTGTCTTAATTGCATTCGACGCGACCAAAATTCGACGTATAAAACAGGCCTAAAATTATGAATTGGGTATATAAACAAACGTTAGCCAAATTTGTCTATTGTGGTTCACCTCCAAATCATGGCATAACTGACACTTCAAATATATTCTTATATACTTTTATCCACGTTCATTCAAAGCCAATATCAATAGCCTGTATACAATACCTGTTCTTCCAGTAATTCTGGACCAAGAGAATCACAGAATAACTCATCATCGTCGTCGTCATCGTCATCTTCATTACTGTCTTTATTACCGTTGCTCTCATTGCTCTCCTTATTACTGTCACTCAACTCTATTACATCAGAACCTCCATTTATAACGACGACATGATTCGTAACTATAACATACAAAAAGAAGTTATTATAGTACTCACTAACAAACTTTAACTTAAGGTTTAAATCCAGCCTGTTGCGATAATTGATTGAAAATGATCGAATGCTGATATAATATCGATATTCTTCCACTGATTTTCGCCAAACTCCAGATGAAGAAAACGGAGTTGATCACAACGTTATTGTCGATTTCATCACTTTTCACCGCGCGGTTTCCAAGTTCGTTGCAAACTTGCCAATTACGTTTCCAAGTTCGAAAATTGGGCGTGAACTTCGCAACAAAGTTCGCAAGTACATTTCAATAGTACTGTAAACAAATGTTCACAGTTCAAGTTGAAATTAACAATTCAATGGAAATTCTTGTCCAGTGGGCTACCAAGAAGGTTTGTATTTTATTGAATTGGTTATTATTATTGAGTGTGAACATTTGTTTACAAACGAATTTCAAACATTGAAATGTACTTGCGAACTTTGTTGCGAAGTTCGCGTCCAATTTGGAAACGTAATTGGCAAGTTCGCAACGAATTTGGGAACCGCGCGCGTTGAAAATTGCTATGTTAGATTACTTTATCTTTAGAAAGCTTTAAAACATGTACAACTGATTGTTTCAGGAAATATTTCTAAACAGGGATTTTTCTGTGCTGCATGACATAAAATTAATGTCACGTATCTCTGAAATTCGCAGTCCTAATCAATTCCGGTTTGATGAAAAAAATGCTAATTAGCTTATAATTAAAATAATACCAGGCTTTTATGGTTAGAAATATGATATTCAGTTAATCAGCCCGAGACTTTAAAGACAGTTAACATTAACCATATGAAAAAAATCCAAGTGGAATCGTAATTCTACATAATTGTAACTTGGGACAAGTTGGAATGATTTTTTTCTGTCTGAAGTTCAATGGATTCCAATAAGAAAATTTAAATTCCAATTGGAATTTGGGCCAATTTCCAATCGAAATTCCTATTGGAATTCCAGTTGGATTATTTTTGTAAATTGGGAAGGTGCAAACACCCTCTATATCCTACTGTTCACCAAAGCCTTTGCATATTAGCAAACTGGCAGAAAATGTCTTACCATCTTCATTTGAAGGACCAGGTTTAACTCCATTCATTTCTCCATTACTTAACAATCTTGTAGTTTCAATATCGCCGTTTGGCTGTCCGTTATGTGTAACAGAATTCCCAGTAATACTATGTATTGCACTTGCATGACTTGTGTTAAGTATATGTTCACCACCAATTTCGTTCAATGGAGTAGCATGTCCATTCATTTTTGGTGTAAAGTTGGGTTTTTTGCGGAACATATTAAATATGGGCGGGCTTTTTTCGTCCTTTGCATAAGCGACTTTATAGAAGGGTTCAAGAGCAGTAATGAATTGTGATGCTTGATCTGTTTCAGGCATATTTCGAATAACCTACAAAAACAAATGTGAATACAGCAACAGGTTTATGCTGTACTAAACATGTATCTATTTGTTAACAAGCTTCTTAGTACCTGTAAATACTAGGGTAAAAACCAAGAAAATACACAAGAGTACAGTACAATCCTGAAGTAATGTACAGTCAATTTGAGAGCAGCGAGAATGCACAAGTCAATCACAAGTTTTTAAAATACTTGTTTCAACTTGTTTAGTTAACTACACTGAGTACATAAATCCTGTTTTCATTGTAGTTTGTTGAGACACCTCAAATCCTCAGGCCAAAAAAAAAATATGTGGGTTTCCGGTTTCCCGACCCTACCTAGCTTTTGGACGTCGAAATCCCGACCCTAAACTTTTTTATTGGATCATGCTTGTAAGTGTTTCCACTTAGAGGAAAAAGTTTGTGGAAAATTGAAATTTGAGGCAATATTAGGGAAATTTATCTTTGGATGTGGAAGCACTGACAAAACAAAATGGCGTCCGCTTATTCGGAAAATTTAAAAAAAAGTTAAAAAAAAAAGTTAAAACCGACCTACCCTACCTAAGGCCCTGTTCACATGAACCCGGGACAGCGTTATGTCTCGGGGCAAGCAATTGTCGCGGGACAAAAATTGTCTCGGTTCCTTAATAAAAGAATAGCGCTGTTCACATGATATTTTACTTGTCCCGGTGTCCCAGGATTTTCGCCCCCCCTACAATTTCGCCCCCCGGGGGGCGAAATTCCTAGGAATATCGCCCCCCCCTGGGGGGCGAAAATCCTAGGAAATTCGCCCCCCTTTAGGAAATTCGCCCCCCTTTAGAAACTTCACCTTTTCTTTAGGATTTTTGTCCTCCGTTCAAAAGTTCGACCTTCCTAACAGTTGCATGGGATAATTATTACATGGCTTTAGTCATTTGAAATCAGTATCAATTCAAAATTGTTAAGACAGAGCTTGAAATAACAACCGATCAATGATCGGCATGGAATTGATTATGATCCGCGGAAAAGCAGGGTTTCGGTTTCCAACCTGAAAAAATCAGGGAAAGTCATGATCGAGAACTTTGGGAACGTTATTTCAAGCCCTGTAAGAATACAAATTTACAATTACATGTATCGAAAGGACTTACACAGTTCACAGTTAATATAGAATAAGACTTATGACGCTTCACAGCACACCATGCATATTTTGCATTTTCAGTGTTAATCCTTAAACTCATTGTTAAAAAGTAATCACCGTGGTGGTTATTGTAATTATTGGTATTGTTTTGCATCCACATTTTGTCGTTATCGGAAAATGTATGGCTTACAAGTTGTCACTATTTTTTACTTGCATTATTTCAATATAGTTTGTAAATTTCAGAAGCGAAGGGTAGAACTTGCCAATAGGCAATACTCCAATAATATACGTTTCAAAAAAGACAAAAAAGCTTTTAGTTTTGCAGAGTTACATTCTCGAATGTTTAATAAGGCACTAATAAAATCAAAGTATCATGAAACATGAAATTATTTGAATAAACCACACCACATATATATATATATATATAATGCAATTTTCTTTGCGGAAGTTAAAAATCAAGATTACATCACTGACATGGAAAGTTGACGATTCAATGGACAATAGTCAATACGCTTCCCAACAAATTCCATAGATTTTTTATTAATCCTATAGTTTATTGTTAGCAAGTGATTAATGTGGCAGCTATTGTTAACATTGGTATTGATAAAATTTGCAAGCGATTGTTCTTATAATATGTTATGTGAATGTAACTGCCAGAAGAATACGACATGATTTTATGAGATCTCTGTGGGCAATGGTTCCACTTTAGATGTGTAGAATACGACACTAGTCTAAGTACCTCAAATGAATGGTTATGCAGACTGTGCACACCACCAGCTGCTAAGAAGCCTAAAATGTGCATGTGATTTGTCTCCTTGTAATAAATAAATAAATCACACAATAAATCTTTTCAACTTGCAATCGTTTTGTTTTTAGATAAAAAATTCAAAATTTATATGGGGGGGGGGCGAAATTCCTAAAGGGGGGCGATATTCCTAGGAGATTCCTAGGAATATCGCCCCCCTTTTGAGAAGGGGACGAATCTCCTGGGGGGGGGGCGAATCTCCTGTGACACCGGGATAATTAATTTTTTTGTAAAACGATCAAAATCGCGGCTAAAATTACATTTAGAGCACGTTGGACGACTCCACAAAAACTTGTTATTTGATTGAAGATACCATTAGAAATTTATAAGTGATGATTCTAAAAAATTTGATCTGGTCAAACAGAAACAATGAATTGGGCACATTTTACTACGGCTGATAATCAATTACGTTCTATTTGTAAATATCATAACATAAAATACGACTTGCGTTTATCAGAATGTTTTTTATTTAGCAATATTTCACCGTTTCACGTTGGCGGGAATATTTTATGATTACCACGTAATTTATTTATAGGCATGACCCGCGCTAGTTTTGTTCATGTAAACAGAAGATATCAGTATCCCGGGTCAATGACTTGTCGCGGGGCAGTTGTTTATCCCGGGATCATGTGAACAGAGCCTAAGAGCAGTCTATATAGTTGCACATTCGAGCCCAATTTGGAAGAATTGTTTGTAGTACGAATTGCTTGTATCTCTGATTACTGTATCACTAAATTTTAAAAATGTTCCGAGGCTGGGGGTTTTATATTTTGTATGAATGCCCTTAAAGAAGAACGCTGTCTGAAGCCGAAATGAACACAATGCATCAGTAAAATGACAATTTTGTACTGGTTTGTCAAATGTATGTTGGTTCGTGAACAAATTTATATAAAGATAAAATCGCCATCTGTGCAAATTTCGCCTTCGGACTCCCGTATATTCCCACAACACGCAATGCGATTTGCTCCAAAATAATTTCAAAATTTCAATATAAAATATACAAAAAAATAAAAATGATTGATGTGGCCTAAAAGTTTAATTGTATAAAAGTACTAAGGCGTTTTGTTTCTATTATATCATGTCTATCATTAGCCGCTTCCGTTTAAATATCATGAAGTTAACAGTTGCAATCACACCCGTCGGTAATTACACTTTTTCTAATGTTGTTCTAGCTGTCAAAATCCACAAACTTGTCGCAAAACTTGAAATATAATTAGCTATGAAGGACAACATATGGTAAAAACAAACAAATGTTAACGAAACATTTCCAAGCAGTCTTTTATATTTACAAAATTAACCCTAGCTCTGCACGCACTTTTTGAGTTTTAAAAATTATTATTACGCATATAACCAGTATAAAAAGAACGGAAACTATAATAAGTACAGTAGTGCACCTACACAGATTAGTTTTTTAAACTTACCGTATTTTCGTTTGAAGAAAATAAAATGGACCGTCGTGTTGAGGAAGCTGCTTGTTGAACCCTCTTTCTTGCAGGCAATGAAGAAGGCGACGGCTCAGGGCATCTTTTCGCTCTAGACTGTGATTTAAGAGCGTCTTGGCTTTTCCAAATTAGCTCTTTGAAAGCTTTATAGTTGGTCAGTCGCCTCTCACAAGGTTTGCAAATATTTTGAGGCAGGCTTTTGTCTCGTACGAGGAATTCGCCCAAACAATCTTCAGCTAGCTTCAGAATATTCGCGTTTGCAGGTCTAAACAACTTTTTAATGTAAGTCACATCACAAATCTTCAGACATAAACGGCAGGACGAGCTGTAGCTTTCTTCACTAGCACTACAAAACTTTTTCGGAGTATCTTTTGACATGACCAGGTGCGTACTCGAGCAGTGTAAATTTGAAGATTTATATTAAGAGTGTGATATAATTACTAGGAGTGACAATGTATACTCACTCCCCCGACCCTAGTAAACAATACGCCATTTTACGCAAAATCCGCGGGTCACGTGACCAGCCCATACCAGGGTATATTTCGCTTCCCAAGAGCAAATACCCTGGGTACGAGGTTGACCTATCTACTGCGTTCATGTACTGGTTATATCTATGAAATGCATAGGGGCTGCCTTCTCTCCACATCCTTTTTATCGTTCACGGAATCAATTGATGTAATCAAGGAAACAGGCCTGTTATCAATCCATTGCAGGGTTAACACATTGGATTCCCTTGCCCATCGCATGCTACCTCACTCCAACTTCCTCGCCCAAACCTTCACATCCTTCATGGATTTGGGGAAACCCTTCCTGTTAATTTTACATGTGCCTGATGATGGGGTCCCATTCATGAACAGATCTTGGACTAACTTAGGGGATGAAAAAAAATTATCAAAATATACATGATACCCCTGCCCTAAATATGGATTCATCAACTTCATCACCACATCATTACCAAGGCCATTACACGACAGTGCTTCATGCTGTGACTTACCTATGTAAACATTGAAATCAATTGTATACCCATTTGAACTATCTGCCAATACCCAGAGCTTTATCCCCCATTTTGTAGGCTTATTTTTCATGTATTGCCTAATCCCTGACCTATGTTTAGAGTTAACCATGCGTTCATCCACAGCAATATTCTGGTACGGTTGGTATAACATATGGCATCGTTCTTTGAATGATGCCAGAAACTCCTCAACCTGGCACAGTTTATTGCTAGCAATTTCTTCGGCGGGGTCTACCACATGCAAGAATGCCATAAGGGCTTTGTAACGTTTACGGGGAAGTATTTTCCTTGCCCAGAGACCGTGGTAAAGGGTCTTTGTGCTCCAATACTTTTCAACTGCTGTGTCTACACGTACCAGACTAAAATAAATCAAAATAGCAATCAAACGATTTATTTCATTTTCAGTAGTTGTTTTCCAGGCCCCCTCCCCAGTGGTGTATGAAGTGAACACCCCAGCTACAAGTCTCATGAATGCGTAGCTGTTGGTGTGGGAAACAACTGATTTTATCATCTCGGTGGTGAAGAAGAGACAAAAAAATTCTAATTCAGTTGTCATTCCTCTCCGCAAGACATGCCTATCAAAATGAATTCCTGGCGGACGGCTTGGTTGAAAGGGAGGGAGGGTATTCCTAATGTCTGCATCATAAGATTTACTACTATTAATGTTGGCCCTGGTATCCCTAGCCCTTCCACCCCTGCCTCCCTACCACTCCTGCCCCTACCCCTACTGCCCCTTCCCCTATTGCCAGAAGTACCATTAGGGGAGTCAGCCCGTCTCCTAATTGGGGATCGGCCCCTTCCACCACTACCCTCCCCTAAATCACCATCCTCCTTCCAATTCGGATCCTTGTCATCTACTTCAAAATCATCATCATCTTCTTCATCAGCAGGTTCTTCATCACTATAAAAAAATAAAATACTATAAACATACTGATACATGCTATTATCTTACTTGATATAAACAAAAATGCATAAATTAATTTTTTAAATGCCCACTTATGCCACGTGTGCAACATGACGCTCACACATTTTGATATGGGTTCAAACCTTTGATCTTTGTGGCAATATAAATGACAGACACTCAAATAACTGCCTTATTATATCGGTTATATGTATATTTGTTATATTTCATATCAGATCTTAGTTTATTGACCAAACTCTTATGGCAAATGTGCATCAAAGTTCACATTGCGTCAAATGTAAATTTAATCCTTCGAACATCTGTTTGCTAAAAACATGTAAATGCTTGCCTTGCGTCGCTATCTGACATCGCCAAACATCTGTCCAAGTCTTCTTCTTCATCTGATGTGATTCCACTAGCTTCGAATGCAAACATTTCGTCATTTAATTGATCAATAACTGCATTAATACTAAGTGCCATCTTGTATTTTTAAAAATATCAAAGACAGCAGCAAGCCGTTGGTACGCGCATCACTTATAATCTAAAAAATGGCATATAAGGCTCGGATCATGCCATAAACCAATGAAATTCACGATACTGGGGGATTACATCATGGGGAATCGATTGCCGAGGGTTTTTAGACCGTGGGGTGAAAAGAACCCGATGAATTTAGGCTCTGAAGATTGTCGATGGATTTACGACGCGTTACATAAAATGTGTTGTTTATGTCGTAATCTTACGAAATTCAAGACATCAACAGATTGCGATATGACGATTCTAATGGTGGTATATCTGTCTTGATAGCTTTCATTCGAGCGAAGATATAGTCTGGCAAAGTTCAGGATATGTTTGTCGTGTTGAACATCCGGTACGTATTTTAGAAAACACATATCTTAACAATTTAAAAAATTATAAATCACTTGCGTTGTACTGTAGACATACAAAATTAGGTCTGACATGAGATTGTGAAACAGCGGTTCTAACAGTGGTATTTTTGTCTCCATCGTATGCATTGAACCGAAGATATGAACGTGCAAAGCCGTCGATCTCTCAAAATTGATGGAACTGGGGCGTGATGCAAAAGAGTTAACTGATGCACCATCACTACACATTCCGATCTCTTTATCTTTGCATTCAAAGTTAAAGTTGATTTTAGAGAGTGAATGTTCCATTGCTTCTTTTATGCCTTGTGTGTTACATTCCTCAAGCTCCTCTAAAGACATGACATTAAATGTAGGTTGGCCCTCCACACACGTTTTTATGATGAACAGCTCCTTTTCATCAACACATTTTACGCTGCTGGCTCCATCAAACAGAACACTGTAATAATTTAAAACATCATTGTTGAATGATTCTGTTATATTAGTCATCCGTTGGCTAATGCTGATATATTTCATGATTTCTGCACCAGTTTTGTTAAGTAAGTGCACCAAGATCAACTGTTTTTTTTTCAAATGCAGCAAAATCTGCATACATCTTGAATGATTTTGCATTTGAGCTAGTGAAATGGGCAAGTTGAAATTTTCTACCTAGCTGCTGCTGTTGGGCAGCATTAACTTTTTTGAGCATTGTTCGAAGCAGTGTTTGCTTTGGAGCTCCGCTAGAGCTTGTTTGAGTATCGTCTGCACTACTAGATTGAGTGGGAGTGGCTGCAGACATCAGCTCTTTCTCTTCAAGCCTGAGAGTTGCTTTCTTGTGGTTCTCAAACAGCAGATGCTTTGCAAAGTTTGCTTTCTTTGTGACATGCATGCCATTTACGATTGCTCTTGGAATTTTCCCGACCCTTTGCATTTTTCAGACAACTGTTTTTGTTAATCTTCAGAGGGGTAAAACTCCCGACACGTTTTACAAAATATTTTCATGACCTTGCTGCATTAATTTGTCTCGTACTCCATACAGCTAAAGCCCCAGCCTTCCACAGTTTTCAGCTTCACCATTGTTAAGAAGCAAGGTTTCTGTATTTAAAATTTAAAAAAATACCTAAAATTACAAATCGTATCTTTATTGCTCACGCTCAAAAACATGCTGCATTATATATATATATATATATATATAAAACTTCAAGTTAGAAATAAATTTTATTAAATTTCAAATAAATACATAAATACGTTTCGGGGCACAGCCCCTTCGTCAGAAACAAGATAAGTTCAAACCCATGTCCTTAAAATACTTTCAGCCCAATCCTAATTAACATACATACACTAATAATATATAGACTTGCATTAATATTCCTCCCTCAAATTTAATCCCAGTGGTACATATGTATTCAATTTTTCAATCCAAAAGCTTTCCCTCTCTGTAGGTTTATTAATATCCGTGATATTGATAATCTGTGCTCTAAAGTCATTAAGACCCGAATGGCCCTCCTCAAAAAAATGTTCATACAAATGTTGACCACATAAACCTCTTTGGCCCTTAGAATATCTATTAAGTGAACTCTTGTGGTTATTAAATCTAAGACTAAATGACGTTATAGTATTGCCCACCTAAAACACACCATAGGTGGCTCTGGCATGACACTTAGGAACTTGCTAGATAAGCCTACAATATTTTGCAATTCCCTAAAAATTCCATAAATTTCCCGCAATGCTGGGTGATAATCTATGATAAAGGTACTCTTATTATTTTCCCTTCTAGTTTCTTCACTGCCCCATTTAAATAATGCCAACCGATCCAAAAACCTGAGTCTCTTAAACTGACTCCCTATAAATTTGCTATTGCAGCCCCTTTTAACCAGAAACCGTTTCAATTCCTGAAGCCTACTCTCAAAAACCTTATCTGAATGGCAAATCCACTTTAGACGCAATGCCTGTCCATAAGGAATTCCCCTCTTAACATGTGGAGGATGGCAGGACTTAAAATTTAAATACTGATATGCATCAGTGGGTTTACTATACACATCAGTACAAAAAAAAAACCATTATCCAATCCTACCGACACATCAAGAAAGGAAATCCTATGATAACTTATATCCCATGTATACTTGATATTCTCGTGAAAAGAATTCAAACGAAGCAAAAAATCATTTAATTTCTCCTGCGAATCAAGCCAAATCACAAAAATATCATACAGAAAACGCCACCATACCCGTTTTAACTCACATATCCCGAAAAATTTTTCTTCCAAATGCCCCATAAATATATTTGCCAAAACCTGGTGTGAACTTGGTCCCTATGGCTGTCCCCAATTTTTGGCGGAAGATTTTTTCACCAAATTCAAAATAGTTGTTTTCTAAGACCAGCCTAGCCAAGGAAACCAAGTCCTCAACCGGTAGCTCCCACTCAGCCCTATTAAAAGCTGCCAGAAGTGCTTCCAACCCTTCCCCGTGTGGTATACGAGGGTACAAGCCGATCACATCTATAGTACACAAAATAGCAGTAGATGGAATGTGTCCCAAATCATCGATGGTGAATTCCCGATAGGCCACCCCCTACACAAAATATTCAACTGCAACACTGTTAAAATAAGCTACAGTTGCATGCCTAATATCAAACAAACCATCGGCAGACACAACAAGACCAAACTGTCACAAACCTGGCGCCACAACGAGCGAAGAAAGTACATGTAACTGTAGAAAGAAAGAGGAGAGCCCAATGTCCAAAAAGTGTTTGGTTGAATCTATTGTATATCAAGCTACAGTTTCTACCAACGACAATAGTCCACCTCAAACATATGTTGGTCTGACTGAAAACGCTTTTAAAACTAGATATTATAACCACAAAACCTCATTTACTTTGTACGAGAAAAGGAACTCCACTGAACTTAGTAAATATGTCTGGCAGTTAAAGCGCAAAGGAATTGAATTTCATATTAAATGGCAAACCTTGAAACGGGCCAGCCAAACACTACAGCCCTGCTTCTAATAGATGTAATCTCTGCCTGTGGGAAAAATACTTTATTGTATGTACTGGCTACTTTGAACAAACGTAATGAATTAGTGTCTTCATGCAGACATGCGAAAAAATTTCTTTTAGCTACCATTTAAAGGGCATGCACTCAAGACAGACATATTTTTGTTTTAAATATACCACGCAATCTTAATACCTTGGCGTTATGCTGATGTGTTGTTAATACTTCCGCGTCCTGTCAATTTTATCAAGTAACATAATAATTGCTTTGCGTGCTTTGTAAATAGGATTAATTTAAAGCTTTCATCCACTTGTACATAAATACTGTAGCTTTTTGCTACATTATCTGATGAGTGCCACATCTTGTGGTACGAAACTAGTAATAAAGATGCCTAGTGGAATTTGTTGAGTCGTTGCACTTATTTAATTATGCTCTGGATATCCATTGAGCACTCTGCCAAATGTTTTTGTAAACAACGAAACCTAATTATATATATATCTGCTATCCTAAATATATATATATATATCTGTTACTACACTTATACAACAGCACAATAACCATTACCCCTGCAACATAAAACTTACCATTCCAAAATACAATGGGCCTCATCAGTAACAATGGCAACTATATTCTCCTCATACGTTGGACTCTGTAGCAATTCACACCCATAGTTGCAAGAGATAAAGGACTCAGGCTGTGCGAAGACGATATAGTAATAACCAGTGCGTAGTTTATCCTCGTCACAAAGGCGAAGATCACATTCGAGCGAACTGAATTCTCTTTCTTGTTGTAATACTTTCACGCCCAGAACTGATGCTTGTATGCCACTTAATCCAATCTGGTTGCTTATTATCACCTTACAACGATAATTACAGCTGTACAAGCAGACATATCTACATCCCGAAGACTGAGATATTAATTTATTAGTAACTTCTCTTTGGCAAATAACAACCCAGGAAGAAGATGGAAAATTAATGACTTTCCCTAGCCAGTAGGAAGGATGCAAATAATATCTCTTTTCAAATGTAGGTGTTATTACTTGCTTTGGTTTCAAAATAGTATTAAAATAAATACTATTACAAATAGCAAACTGCAAACACGAGAAAAAAGCAATGTATTCCAACATGGTGGCTTGCAGTGACAATAAAATTCGAATACCCTACCCCCCATGAAGTAAAATTTGATCTTGGTGCCACGTGACCAGCCCCGACCAGGGTCTTTCCTTCCCCAAAGAAAGAGCCTGGGAACGAGGTTGGACAGGCATTGGGTGGTACTGACCATGATGACACAATATGTTTTGACTCTGAAACAATTTTGTCCCTAATCTCCCTCCCTCCATAAACTTCTTTGCACTGAAATGCACGAATTTTGTCTTGCTCTGCAAATGTCATGTCTTCATGTCTTCCTCAGCAAGCTTAAACCAACCTATCTGCCGCCCCCCACCCATCATTAATTACAAAATATTTTTCATCCATTTCCTCAGTTTTCCCCATTCTGGAAGGCGCGATTCGAACCATGACTGTACTTCACATATTTAAAGAAATACATGTAGAATTACAAAAACTTTTCATACCTTGTGTTTTTATATTTTCTGTTTCAATCTCATCAATGAAACCAGCTTGCATCTCAACATTCACACCAGATTCCAGACGTTCATCACCATCATCAGCATTTTCTCTTGTGGAGCAGCAACCTACCATACATTCACTTTCATCACCATCATCAGCATTTTCTCTTATGGAGCAGACACCTACCATACCCTCACTTTCACCATACTCCTCATCATCACTTCCACTGTGGCTATCATCACCCGACCTACTGGAGACATCTTCAAAATTACGATTAAAGGTGAAGTCAGAGTTCAGAACAACTTAGGCTGATATGAAAGATCATATAATGCTTACCTCTCACACAAAGTCCCACATGTCCAAGTTATAACCAAGTCGAGAAATAAAGCGATAAATATGCTAAAATTTACATATAACGCAGCCGCCATTTTGTACATCAAAGCGAAGCTGCGATCACGCAGCGGTTTTACCTTGTGACGTCATTGCGCGGTTTCGCGGGAGCGCATTTATATTCAAATTTCAAAACAACAGAGCAATTTCACAGGCGACTTTTCTAGTTTTATAAATACTTATTTCGGAAAAATGCCGTACTGCATGGTTCCTGGTTGCACAAATTGTTCAAAGAAGACAAAAGGGAGTGATATATCGTATCATCGTTTGCCAAATGATCAGCAAATGCGAAGAACATGGCTCAGACGTGTTCGTCGTGACAACCTGCCGAAAGCTAATTCGTGCTATGTTTGCAGCGCTCATTTTAGCCCAGATTGTTTCCAGGGTTCTCTTAAAGAATTATTTGGCATGAAAGGGAAAAAGGCTCTAAAATCTGGAAGTGTTCCATCGATATTTCCGTTTTTACATCGCAAACCAGAACGCGAATTATCATATAAGAGGGCACAAATCAGAGAGAAAATTGCGAAAGACGAGGTAATTTCTATTACTGTAGAAGTGTATTTTTCTGTGTGAACAGACTAGATTGCAAAATCTATAAAGGTTATGGTAGGGGATGGCAATTACTAATTTACTGTACATTCTCTATTATGGACGCCAGAGCTTTACTTTTCAGGTCTGTTGGATGGGGGAGGGGGGTAGTCCCAAGGCGGGCTCAATAGAATAGGGTTATAGCTTAATATGAAACCACAGAAAAGCAACATTATTAGCGTCCGGGGTAAATTATTTATCTAGTCATTAACTTGAATGCAGGGGGGGGGATAGAGGATTTACGGTTTGATCCATAAGTACTTTAATAATGAATTAAAATGGTCCACCGGGTAGCCACGTTTTTGGACTATTTTAATTCAAATGTGGCAAAAAACGTGGATTTCTTTGCAGGAAGTAGCAAGCCTACTAACAATAAACAGCGAAGAGCATGAAATGGGCAATACATGTATTGAACAAGAACTGCCAAGTACGTCAAGTCACGATGCAGAAACACAGTGTAATTTGAAGATTTTGTTGGATGCAGAGGTCCAGTGTGAAAAAATATTAAAACGGAGTATTGCTATACAAACTCTTGCCCAACGTAAAAATAAATCTAAAAATAAAAAAAATTCTTCTACTGTTCACAATATAAATAACAGTTGTCCAGTTCCTACTCCTCCTTCAACACCGATGGAAACAAAAGGACAAAAGTCATCCACTATCCGTGCTCTATATTGTAATGATCCTGTTGTCACCTCCCCTTCAACATCAGTTGTCAGGAAAGAAACGGACACAAACATGACACTATCTGATTCTGAACAGATTGTGAACATTTGCAGTAGTAGTGAGGATGACACATCAGATAGTGATGTCACATCAGATAGTGACGACGATTATATTTGCTCAGAATTAGACACCAGTGATGAGTCTGACGAGGAAGAACTAAAAAATGAAAGAAAATTTATTGTGTTTGAAAGTATGCTTGATCAGCTATTTATCAACTGTAACGCGTGTGGTTCTCTATGTGAGATTGAAAAGTCCAACACTGGTAGCATGGTAGTAATCAAAGCAACATGTTGTAACAACCATACCTTTCACTGGAGATCACAACCAGAGATAGATAACAAGCCAGCTGGTAACATTTTGATTCCTGCTGCAACTGTCATTACTGGGGGATCCTATGAATCTATGAAACAATTTTCTAATGCACTTAATTTAAACTTTGTTAATAAAGACCAGTTTTACGATGTGCAGGATAAGATTGTTTTCCCAGTCATCAACAATGCCTATGAAAAACAACGGAAGGATGTAATTGAAACAATCAAAAAGGAGAATACTGCAGTCAACTTATGCGGTGATGGTCGATCTGATAGTCCTGGTCATAGTGCTAAATATGGTACATACACTTTGATGGACGAAGATTCAGGGAAGATTATAGATTTCTCCCTTGTGCAAGTCTCGGAAGTTTCTTCCTCTAATGCAATGGAGAATGAAGGCTGTCAAAGGTCACTCAACAAAGTTATTGACCAAAATGTCCATATAAGATCTTTGTCAACTGATCGTCATACCCAGATCACATCAGAGATGAGGAAGAAATACCCCTCCATAATCCATCAGTATGACGTGTGGCATCTGTCGAAGTGGATTAAAAAAAAATTGGGGAAGAAAGCTAAGACAAAGATCAATGAATCGCTTCTTAAATGGATCCAATCTGTGTCCAATCATCTGTGGTGGTGTTCACAGACTTGTGGTGGTGATGCTGAAGTTTTACGTGAGAAATGGGTCTCCATCTTGAATCATGTGGTTAACAAACACAGATGGAAGAATGGCAAGCGATTTCGAAAGTGTGGACATGGGCGTCTCTCTAGAAGAAAGGAAAGGAAGACAAAATGGTTAGAGGATGGGTCTGCAGCATACGTAGCACTAGAAGGGGTGGTTCTCAATAAAAAACTTTTAAAAGATATTGAAAAACTCACAGAATTTCATCATACCGGCGACCTTGAAGTCTACCATTCACTAATGTTGAAGTACATTCCCAAACGTCGTCATTTTTCATACAAAGGCATGTTGGCCAGAACCCAATTGGCAGTGATTGACCACAATTCCAACACTGGAAGGAAGCAAGCAACAGTTACAAAGGGAAGCAAGAAAGGGGAAAAGAGGTACAAGGTAATTTTCCCGAAGGGCAGAAAGAGATGGGTTGCAAAACCAGTTAAGGCCAGTAAGTCCTTTTCCTTTATCCAAAACTTGATGGAAGATGTTTTTTGCTTCAAGTATGACAAGAAAAAACCCTATAATTCAACGATGCCTGCCAATATTCCAAAGAACATTGCACCCACACCAAGGCCATGCAAAGAAGAGATTATAACAGCACACAGATCACGAATGGGAAAGAAACCATAAGCTGTTTCCTGAAGTGTGTTGAAATGAGTAGGTGAACCCAGTGGTGGACACTGGGGGAGGGGGGCGAAAACCTTTAAATGATACGTGAATAACAGTGTAAGAAAGCTATAACTTACAACAATTTTCCAACCATGGAAAAATTTATCACTACATACAGTATTGCATGAAATTTAGGGCAAGAAAGTTGAAAGAACTAAGACTTCCGGCTACTAAATGTGGTCATATGTTGTAACTTAATTCCCCCCCCCCATTTTTTCCCAAAGTGTCCGTCACTGGGTCGAGCCGCAATGTCCTACTTTGTTATTTTACTCTGTCTACTGTTATGCCAATTTACACATCACAGAGAAGTGTAGGAGAAGCATTAATGTATTAAGCAGACTATATGCATATTCTCTTGTAAACCCATTTAGCTGGCATGTGCTCTACTTTGTTATTTTACTTTGTCTAATACAAGGCAATTTTACTAAATGGGGAGCATTGGGTGTCAATGGGTTAACCAGACTTCCTGCTCATGTCTCTGGTGAACCCATTTAGCCATATTAGTTAACATTATAAAGGAGAATTGTTGGGAACTGTGATTGTTCTAATAAACTAGATTGATTATCTAGACCCAATGGGTCCCAATGCCTAAAATAAGGAGACAACTAATTGGATAAAGTTTCCTGAAGAATGAAGCAGACTCTTTGTTCTGAAATAGTTAAAACAATAACACTTTTAAATGGAGGGGAACAAAATAGTTGTAAATATTACATAATGTACTATACTGTAAATAATTGTAATTAGAAAATATTACTTGACAAAACAAAACAAGCAGATTACTGTAGGTTGAAAATAATGTTAATAATATAGTTAGCCAAATAGCAATATTTATACAACAATATATGGAAAGTAAGAAATGAAAACCCCTATCACATATTTCATTACTCATCTGCAAATTTAAAACCCTCAAAAACAAAAACAAAGTTCTCTTCTAAACCTGGTGGTGGGAAGTGTGCTCGAATACAACTAACTGCACAAGATGGCAAGGGGACCCTTATCTCTTTGCCTAAAATATTCCAACACCACCAAACAAACTGCCTGTAAGCAACTGTCTTCGTTTTTTTGTGCTCAGGTCCTTCATGTGCCTTTATGCCATAATGTCGTCTATAATCGCTCCAAGCAACTCGCAAGACCCAATAATTCAGACATAAATACTGAAATGCAGGGTTATCAGTAATACATTCTGGGACGGGTATCTCCTCAATTTGTGCTGCTTCTTGGTTTATAGAAACACAAGCTGGGATCTCATGGCAGCAAATACTTTCCTCTTCCCTATCCATTATTTGGCAGTGAGTACAAAGGCACCTACATGTATAAAGCCAAGTTCCAATTTAATCATAAGTTAATTTGGGCCAAAGCATAGCAGTTGAATTTATGATTTTCAGTCATGTTTGATTAATTGAAAACTATAATAATTATAAGTACAAACATAATAATGTATAATAATGCCGCCCATAATAATGTACAAACAATTAAAGCACTAATAACCCTAGTTGGGCATGTTGCTGAAAAAGCTTAACCTACATAATTATCTACAACATAAATAATAGAAGCAAATTTAGTAAATAATTACCAGTTCGTGTCCTGAAGTCTGGTGGTTTTGTCAGAACTTGACGAAGATTCCGAAGCCATTTCTTCCGAGACTTCATGGTCACCGCTCGAGTCTGTTTCAACCGGTTCAAACGCGTAAGGTTGAATCATGTTTACGTCTCTTTCGACGTTCATATCTTCGCTATAACTCGGTCCACTACTTCCAGAACCATTGCTCGAAGATTCGATGGGGGTGAATAAATATCCATTTCTCTTGATACAGTATTTCTCTTAAATTTATAAATACTATTTCGTCTTTGTTTACATGTATATCAGAAAATTAAAGTACTAAAGCCTGTCTGCCGTGGAAAGCCAACCGCGCAATGACGTCACAAGGTAAAACCGCTGCGTGATCGCAGCTTCGCTTTGATGTACAAGATGGAAGCTGCGTTATATGTAAATTTTAGCACATTTATCGCTTTATTTCTCGACTTGGTTATATCAGCCTAAGTTGTTCTGAACTCTGACTTCCCCTTTACTTAATCAGTTTGTGTACATTTATATAAAAGTAAATTGATTTGTCAGGAAATTATAAGCAGCTTATTAATACTGTCACTGATGCAACTGAACTCAATCCTGACAACCTTTTCGATGACCCATTTGTAATATTAAACCAACCATCATGAGAATTGATTGAAAGTGAGCCCTTGGCAGGAGATGATCCACCACCAATGAGCCCCACCATCCCCATCTCAACAATCAATGTTGATTTAATTACTTTAGCCCCAAGTACGATTGCCAAGAACAAATCCTTTTAACCAAACACATGTACTTCCCACTACTCGCCCTATCAAAAAAAGAAACAGCGCAAGACCTGCAGAGGATGCAGATGGAGATTTTGGAATTAGAGAGGGAGAAGATTTCAGTTGAATTAGAAAATGCAAAACTCATTAAAAAAAACTAAAACTGGAAGTTAAAGAAGCAGAAGAGGCAGCACTTGTAATTTGAATGACAAGTTCAGTTTGTTTATATTTTAAAGGTATATTATACCCATTGAATATATGCATGCCACACAATACACCCTTCCGATAATTATGTCACACAATCTTTTTGGTCTTGGAGCCTGGCGCCATTTCATTAGTACATTATGCAAGGTGATTGGCTCACGATTCATGAGAGCGAGGCTCCCAGGCCAAATGACATAATTATCAAAAGGGTGTATTATATGCTTAAAACCAAGGTCTCCAATTTTAGATCTTACTACATTGTTGCATCTTTTGTATGTTGTGCGTTGTTATGCTTATTTTTTGAAAAATAATACTACAGCAGGGTATATTAGATTCCAAATGTTTAATTAATTAAGCAACTTTCTGTATGAAATTGTTGAATATAAATTGAGAATATTTTTTAAAATATATGTAAAGAATACAAATAATATTAAGTTAAATATATGGCAATTAGAAATTTGAATTACGATTTTTTGAAACATGAATAAAAAATATGTCAATATGTGTTTGTAATATGGCTTCTGACCCATCTCCCCTGCTTGCACCTTGGTCGTTATTGCCAAGGTCTACTTCGTCTTCATTCTTGTCATCATACCCCATGGGTCCATTGTAATCAATGGCAATATTGTGAAGCATGCAACATGCAGCAACAAGGGTGCAAACTCTGTTTGGGGCCATTCAAATCTCTGAATGCAAGAGATGAAATCTTTTCAAGATGTCAAAGCTCTTTCACTAGAAGATCTTGTGCATTTTTGTGCTCAATTAAATTGCTGTTGCTGTATGGTGATGGGGTTGTTGTATGGTGTCATAAGATATGGTAAACATGGATACCCACTATCACCAAGAAGAACACCATCATCCAATGTTGTTCCTTCTAGTGTCTGCCCAATTGCCGATGTTCTGAAGATATGACTGTTGTGGGTTGCACCAGGCCATTTTGCAACAACCTTGAGAAACTTCCCTATAGCAGGGTGTTAGCCAGGCGGCTGTCCGACCATCCTACGGACGGCCACTTCTGAATTCGGACGGCTAAATTTTAATGGACGGGCTAAATTTTAATGGACGGCCTAAGGGAATATTTTCTTTAAATAGCAATTAACAAGCTTTGTAATATTTCTTGAATACTTCGAATTGTTGTCTTTACTTATGGTATATGTTTTCATACTTTTTCCCATTGAAAACACGTTGAATGTGGCTGAATTGAAGTATCGACAAACGTGCCATGTTTTTGTAACCATGTTGATGATTCCCGTATGAAGTATCAAGGAGAATATTTGAAACCGCTGTTTTAAAAAACAGCAATCGCTTTATGACTTTATCGCTCGAGCGCCACCTGCTTTAGAGTTACAGTTTCCGGGTAAAGATGGCTATAAAGTGAGCCAAATGCATAAAAAGGGAAAAATATCGGCGATTAATAAAAAATAACTAAACACTACACTACAGTTCATACCATACATGTGCTTTTACTAATTTAATGACGGAAATGTGCATCTAAAACTAAAAGTAAAAAGGTTCAACAAATAGAACAGCACAATTCCACAACAACAAAAAATTGCGGCCACGCCCAAAAACATGTGACCTCACCCACAAAAAATTGTGGCCACGCCCACAAAATTATTTTGTACCGCCACTTTTGAAATCCTGACTAACACCCTGCCCTATAGTACCATACCGTAAACCTCCGGACTATAAGCCCTGGGCTTATATACTTTTGTAAGCGATTTTTGATGGGCTTATACAAGGGGGGCTTATATACGGGTGAGCTTATACATGGACAACCTTTTGTGTTAGTAATAAACAAGTCAGACATAAACAAGTGAGTCATAAACAGGGAAATAAACGTGTATTAAGCAGCAATTACTGGGCTTATATTAATTGGGGGACTTATATTCGGGGGGGGAGGCTTATATTTGGAATGATTTGAGCGTTAGTACATGTGGTGGGCTTATACACGGGGGAAGGGTTAATATTCGGGGGGGGGGGCTTATAGTCAGAGGTTTATGGTATGCAATAAACTCAATGAGAAAAGGCTAGCAGGCCTCTAGGGCTATATTTACAACATGTTTGGTGTGGTGGTGGTCAACTGTCCTGCTCACCTTTATGGAAAATTGGCAAATTTTGGTTCAAAAAGGGGCAAAAAAGTAAAAACAAAAGTAAAAGCCTATTTTCTGCATAAATACTGGGTATGTTGGAGGTCAAAACCAATTACTCCTCAAACTATGGTCATGACCTGGAGCCTTGTTGTTGTGCTAATGCTTATTTCCATATTTATTGTTCAAAATAAAAAAACTTTTTCATACATGTTCTGCTTCTCTGTGCATGAGAAAAAAAAATTTAAATCCGTTCCATTTATGGTGGTCCTATGTTGAAAACAGTGTAGTTGTGATGTAATTATAGAAAGGGTGTATTTTGACAGCTTCAAAGCGGGTATCAAAAGGCACAGTATAGTTAAACAACGTTGATCTCTGTGCCGGTGTTCCATGAATGCACTGAACAGCAATTTTCTTTAAATCCTGATAGCAATTATGACAAAGTAAGGAAATTACCTGACCAAACGAATAAACATCACTTGCTGCTGACTGGCTTTGTTTCCCACAGACTACTTCAGGAGCAATGTGGTAATGATATTTTCTAAACCTTTCTCGCTCTATTACTGATAAATTGTAAACTTTACTCATTTTTTCATTTTGCCAAAATCAATAACAACTGGTGAATACTTTTCTACAGCGTGAGCATAACCATTCCTGAGAACAATGTCACAATAAATGTAGTTCATACTATGAATATAGGACAGTGTGCAGCAGCATCAGCTAATGATGAAAACATCTTACTTTCTGCAGCTTTTCTTAGTGTTACACATTTCCCATTAATGCCATAAAATTCCAACACAATGAAATGTGGTTTGGTAGCTGTATTTACACCAAATAGAAAAGGTAATCCTCCTTATCAACAAGCAACATTTTGACGATTTTACAACTCGATTGTTTATAACGTAAATATCTCAGCGCGTGTATTCAACCCCCTTTAAAACAAAGAATACCATTGAAATCCTAATAAAATAACATTTTCAACGGGGGGTTGAATGCCATCAAATCATTACACAAACTGAAACAATCATATATTTACTCACCACTTGGCCAAAATTCCGGAATTTCGTTTCCACAATAGCATAAATAACTTGTGAATTCATCGGGGTTCGCCACAAATCAATATGAGTGAAATATTCCTTGTATTCAAGTGCTTTTATATCCAAAATTTAATTTGAATACAGCCAGTAGAAATGTTTATTTTGAGGTTTTAAAAATATCACGTTTTTCTTGGTTTTTCTCGCACGCATGTGGCCACATGCTAAAATTGGTGAATAAGAAGTACCCATAGCCCGATGTACGTGCAAATCATGCTGCAGTGTAATTTGACCTTTAGAATCGATTTCAGACGTTTCCCGAGCACTAGGATGTAAACACGCAATGTTTTGGCAAATCTAAATAGCATTTCCGGTCAAAAAATATCCCACTGACTTCACTAATATCGCAAGAGAATGAAATATCAAAATAAGAGACGAAAAACTGAGGCTACAAGCCTCAAAATAACACTGTAAATAGTGTTTTTGACTGTGAATCGAACAAGACTACAACGAAAAATACATGTTCGAAGGGGCCGAAGTTGTGTCCGGTGAAAGGTACGGCTTTAGTGATAAATTGTTGACTTTTTCGAACAAATATGTAATTTGTTGAAATAGGATACGTCTTGACCCTTCAAAGGTCATAAATCGCTATAATGTTTGTCTTTGCAGTTCTACAAGTTTTCACAGGGCCGGTCGAAAAGGAGTTAAAGTGGCACTATCATCAAATTTTTTATTTTTTTAAATGAAAATGCTCTTAAAACTATGTAGCAACTTCTTTTAAAGATTTTTTTCCCATGCTTAGTTCTTGACATATTTCATTTTGTTTGTAACCATGTGACATCATTTACTCAATTGCATATATAATGAGATGTCAGTAATGGTTGTGTATTTTTGCTATTTTTTATCAAAATCTTTCCAAAAATGCAGCCGGTTTGTTAATTTAACCTGCATCATTAAGCATACTGTTTCGTTTAACAAATCTGTCAAAAATATATATGTAATTGAGTAAATGACGTCACATGGGTTACAAACAAAATGAAATATCTCAAGAACTAAGCATGGGAACAAAAGTCTTCAAAATAAGTTACTATACAATTTTAAGAGCATTTTCGTTTAAGAAAATAAAAATTCTCATGACAAGCACCACTTTAAGGAAAGGAAAGAACACAATTAATGTTATAGTTTTTCATTTAGTCTTGTGGGTTTTATCCACTATAGAAATAACAGATATCTATTTCTATGGTTCTAATAGATACAGTATCCATTTCTATGATTATGGTTTTATCATCTGGTTTTACTGTATATTTGCCTGTCCCTGCAAATTCAACGATATTACAATTAAAATGCAATAATAGAAACAAGACAGGTGTGAACGTCTGTTTTTCAGTTTGTATAAACCAGAAACATATATCCTTTATATTCCTTGTTGATTGTAGTCGTAATTGTCATTCTTGTCTGTCAGAATATTTTTCATAATAATTAATAAACATTTCTAGCGAATAATACTATTGCACTTTATACACCTAACTTGGAGCAGTTACCTGTACATTGTCTGCAGCCCCAACAGGGATGAAATCTGCAAATTAAAATAATTACAGTACCTGGATGATCAGCAACTCTTGCATGTGACTTGACAGCTACTATTTGTCCTCCATAGATTTTTCCTACACTTCCCAAATACCCCTTCCCCAATATTTTTCTGCCCATCTTTGACAGTGGTGGAAATCTTGGGGGGGGGGCGCGCGTCCAGCCCCCACCTTCACAGAAAATTGACGAATTTTCGGAAATTTTGACCTAAAAGAAGGCTAAAAACAGTCTTTTCGAGTGCAAATTGGGGGGGGGGTATGTCGGAAATTTGAAAGTTTTGTCAGAAATTTAGAAGGCTTTTGCCCCCCACAAGAAAAAGTGAATTTCCGCCACTGATCTTTGACATTGTCCAACCTTTCTGGTTTAATATGATGCATATCATCAATCTGTAGGTATTAAATTTTTTGAGAATTTTTATGATTCTTTTTTGCTATAAGAAGTGTGTAAACAATAACGACTTAATTAAATCAACTTACTGTAATCCCGGCATACTTAATCGATGGAATCAATGAGTATCGATATCAATCAATACCAACCGATATTTATCAATCGATTGATATTGAAAATCAATGAATAATCGATGGCTTCTTTTGCTGTGACTTTCATCGATTGATCATCGATTTATTATTAATTTTCATAGACGAAAAAATCCTCCGTTAATATGCATGCAATCAAACAGGTAACGCCGTAATTTGATTAATACATACTTTAATGTTGTAACAAAACAAATGTGAACAGAATTCAGTAACAATTTTTTTATTGCCCATATATTATAACATATAAATATTTACATAAAAAATAAATTAATGTTATGGTAGGGGCCTACCAGAAACCTTAACCCCAATAGTTATAAAATTTAGATGCTAGTTCTAACTACAGACTATACAGTCAACCCAATTTAAAATATATTACAATAAGTATTATAGTTAAAAGAAAAGAAAGAGAGAAAATGTGAAAGCTATTTATA